CAGATTTGAGCAGAGGAATAGAAAACTGGGTGAGGTCACTGACATGACATTCAGAGCCTGCTTGAAAATGAATAAATTTGCTAAGTGTCTGATATGGAAGGGAAAAAGAGGAAAAATAAACCTCTGAGAATAAAGATAGAAAGAGCCATTTTGGCAGACCCAAAATATAAACAAAAACTAATGAAACAAATAAACAAAAAACTTAATCCTGAAATAACATTTTTGATATGCTTTTTGTTTTTCAGAAATAAAGAACAAATAATTATAACAGAACATTAGATGACATCATATTATATATTGCAAAAGGGTTAAATGGTGCCTGGAAGAGAGCAAGAAGTTACTTTTGGCCCCCTCCTCAGATGTGGCAGATCATTTCATCTTGTCCCTTTCTCCTCCATTCTTCTTTCCCTCTTCTTTTCTAATGTCTAAAATATTCAGTGAGGGAAGGTGACGTGCCATAAACGGGTAAAGAAAAGTTTCCTTTCATTTTTCTTACATCAGTCCCTAAGGACAAACATATAATATGGATGCTGAAAAAAAATCTCAGCCTAAACGATAAATACATCATCTTAGTTCAACCAAATAGAAGATTTAATGTTAATGAATAACCCCTCGCATTTGCAGAAGGGCTATGCTCTATAAAGTACCCTCATATGTATTATCCTTTTGTTTTTTCCCAGACATCATGCAAGGTGGGCAGTTTCTTTCTTTCTATTCTTTTTTTTTTTTTTTTTTCCCCAATAAAGAAAGAAGCTCAAAGGTGGCAAGTGAATTGCTCAACATCATTCTGAGTCAGATCCTAGACTGAGAATCTGGGTCCTTTCTCTTTTCCACTGTCACTACTGCCTCGATAAGATTTCACCACTGAGCAATTTCACTGAGACAGATATGAGTTCTAAAGAAGTAATTATTTTGCGATTTTCATGGCAGATATCAAGCTTTGTATTTTCATATTTAATGAAAATTTTAAATATGTAGATACTGAGTACTATTGATTAAAGGGAGGTATATAAGAAGTAAAAATAGATCCATAAGGCAAAATAGTTTCATTAACATTGAATTATTTTAAAAACTTAATTCTAACAGAAAAACAATTCAGTATAAATTTTAAAAATGAATTGTATTTTATCTACTCAAGTATTGGCCCAAGAATATTACTGAGCACTTACCATGTTCTAAACAATGCATGGGTACTACTGGGCATATAGGAAAGAACAAACCCTCTGTCTGTGCCTTCATAATGTCCCACCAAGCAGGTGAGATAGACATATAGCAAAGAGTTATTATATGCCTGAATGCAGGGACCATAGGAATCTAGCCTAGCAAGGTCAGGAAAGCTTTCTTTAAGACAAGACAATTAAGGTAAAATAAAATAAGAAAACAAGAGGATACGCTTAAGCAAAAAGGAAGAGAGGATGTAGCGCAATGCAAAAGCATTTGAGGAAGAAGGTTAATTTGGAATTTAATGGGGTAGAGGTGATCACCCACGGAGACAGTTAGGGTGTGAAAAGAGGCCACGGATCATGGAACTCCAATATTTATTACAGTTGGTCAGGTAAAAGAAAAAGAACCTGAAAGGTTTTATGGCTTACCAAATATTTTATTTTGCACTGAATTCTCTGTTCCTTAAACCAGGGTTCAAAATGACATTGAGTCTACCTTTTATTTTCTGAAATGTTGTATTCACATAAAATACAAAAACTGAACATCCTTAGACACCTTCTCTTTACCAGCTTTTTTCACCTACATTGTCTCACTTCATCTCAAAACAACCTTAACTAAATGAGACACTGTCTGCTTCTCACTGAGGCTTAAAAAGATTATTCCTTTCCAAATATCCAGGATGGCAGAACCAGAATAAGAACCGGATTTTAGGATCTCTATTCTATTGCAGCTTCCAAGACACCCCACAGTGGCCCTGTTAACTAAAAAATCCTATTCATCCATCAAATGCTTATTAAGATCATACTGAGTGTCACTGAACAAGATAGATAAGATCTCTGTCTTCACGGAATGTACATTCTACTAATAAACAGAATAATGTCATGAGTAGGGAGTTTTTGTTTGTTTGTTTGTTTCTTAAGAATTCTCATTTACTTCAGAGAAAAAAAAATCTTTCACGTTCAAAAGAATGAAATGAAGTACTCACATTTGGACTCCATTTCTCTGGTTGTCTGGTGTTTCCTGTGTCCACTTTCACTGTTATTCAGATGGTCTGGTGCTCTTTCTCCCTTATGGCCATGGGCACTGTAAGCAAAGGCACGGCCAGGAAAAAGATGTCAATACTTTGTACAGAATTGGTTAATTAGGATGGTTCCCTCATCACACACTCACCTAGAGGTTTTGCAACATGCTATCATGTTTTGAGTCATAGCTACAGGTGATTCCAAAGACTGTTACTGCTAACACTCAAAGTTATGTTCCATCATGTTCAACTAAAGGCATTCGAGAGAGAGAGAGAAAAAAAAAACCCTTTAAAAGCTAGTGTTTGCAAAACCTCTCTGTACTAGGAGCAAGAGTGTCCCTAGGGTAAAAGTTGGTGGAATAAATCCAGCTAGTCTTCTGATTTCAAGCCCATGCTTTGTATTAAAAGGGGACTTAGTGACCTGGAAGAATAATTGTACCTTTCGAAACACCTGTTTCTTATCCTTCTGTTAGGAGAAAGGGTGTAGTTGGCAACCATCCTCCCAATCAAATCCTATAAATAAACTGGCCCATTTCTTCTCTGCCATATTCCAGAAGTTAGTAGACACCTGGGAAAAAGAAATGTAATACATGCAAGTCAGGCTAATGCAAAATTGAAAAATAAACCCCGAAACTACTAGAAAGGAACGCCAACTGTTCGGCAATGCCCCCTCTGCTACTGTGGATGCACAGCAACCTCCAAACCTGGAAATGATTCATTTATCTTTCCCAGGAAGGGCAGGGTAGGATGGAAGTAGCTCATATTCCTAGATTCTGAAGGACATGAGACTACAATACATTGGATAGATTACATGGAAAGAAATTTCACAGGAAAGAGCGGAGAAAGAAAGACCATGAAGTAGAAAGGAACAGATAAAGAAATGGGAAGCAGTGTGGAAAGAGGCAAAAAGCATGTCATTAAAAGAGCTGCAGTAATGTCAGACTGTTACCAAGGGAGTGGGTTTCTCAGACAGAGTAGATCCTGCAGGGCCAGTCAGGCAGCCTCAAGGCTGGTGGATTCCAAATGAGGTACAGGCCCCGGCCCCTCAAAGGCAAGCCAGCCCTCCAGTAAGGGGGACCAAGGGGAGCGATGGGGATCTAGAGAAAAAGGATGGCTTTCTGCCAGAGTTTCTCAGTTTCTGAAAGAATCTGAGAAACAAAGTGCTTCAGAAATACTTAGGGAGCAGAAGAACAGAGTGCTTGTCAAAAGCATAGGTCCGTGGAAGCCAATCCAGACAATCAGACTCTCCTGGGGTCACATCTTATATCTTTGACAAATGCCATAGGTGAGTCTTATGCAGAATTTAGTTTAATAAGCATAGGCTATGATGATAAAACTGCAGTCTTCAACTTCTTTTGTTGTCAGGCTGCTCAAGGCTCTCTGTTGGTCACAGCCCCTAGAACAGAGCTGTCTTGACTGACAATACCAGACCCCCTAGTAACAGAGATCTTGGATTACTTTGTGATAGGAAACTACACCAGAATCTCCTCATATAACATTCCTGACCAGGCGCAGTGGCTCACGACTGTAATCCCATCACTTTAGGAGGCCAAAGCAGGTTGATCACTTGAGGTCAGGAGTTCTAGAACAGTCTTACCAACATGGTGAAACCTGGTCTCTACTGAAAATACAAAATTAGCTGGGTATGGTGGTGCATGCCTATAATCCCTGCTACTTGGGAGGCTGAGGCAGGAGATTCGCTTGAATCCAGGAGGCCAAGGTTGCAGTGAGCTGAGATGGTGCCACTGCACTTCAGCCTGGGCAACAAGAGCAAAACTCCGTCTAAAAAATAAAAACTAAAAAATAAATTATTGAGTGTCAGGCCACATTCTCTAACCTTTGTAAAGTTCCTGAATCAAGGTCTGCAGCTTCAGAAGCTACTGTGTCAGCTTTTAGTGGTAAGGAGAGTACTAGGGCACTGAGGCTGAGGTACCAATCAGATCTTGAGTGTGGCTTTCAGACCCTTTGTGTGGAAGCACAAAGGTGAAAGAAGGAGAAAGGCCTTTAAAAAACTTGTCAGTCCCACAATATTCACTAGGATCCTAATTCGAGATCGCTCTGCTAAGTGCCGAAGGCATTATACAGCACTCTCATTGAACTGTTATTCAAGTATAGAACTCAAAATAAATTTGTGAGGTGAATTTCTATGAAGTAAAGAAGTTCTCATTAGAAACGTGTGTTCATTAAATTTTTATTTTCCAGCAGGTAAGGCAACCTAAGTAAAACTATGTTCAAAATTAGGGGTTCAGACAGGAAACCCTAGTTATATATACACCAACCTCCAGAATAAAGGCTGAACTGGAACCACTGTCTACCTCCTTGTAATCCCTGACTCTCTTACCCCTTCCCTCCTCTCTGATGATTGTTGGTGAGTTTGGGTCCTTGTGGTAATGTTTCCCTTTGAGGTCACTAACTCTAGGAAGCCCCTGTCCTGTACCAGGCACTTCTGCACACAGCCGGGACATTGCAAGCCCTTCCATCTGTGTGCTGCTGCACTCACAGGTGGGCTCAGAACTCCCGCAAAATCCTAATAAACACTCCTTCATCCAAAGGGGACAAGCATCCCCTTTGACACATTTTCATGATAATGATAAACTGAAGGCCTGATACAGAAAGCAGCCTTTAACTCAAAACGAGCAAATGAAAGCCACTTCCAAGGTCTCTTTCCGTGATGTCTTTTTGACGCTGTGTTTCCTGAAAGAATGAGAAAAGTCCTCCCCAGTTCGGGGCCTATGAGCAACCACCATTGGGGAAGCGGCATCCAAGCCCCTTGGACACCTCGCTGAGTCACCTTTCCTCTCCCTTCTCTCCTCAGCTCCAATGGAAAATCTGTCACGTGGGCCCAGAACGAGAAGAGCAGCCGGGGGCAGCACCTGTGGCAGCGCCTGTCCATCCACATCAACAAGAAAGAAAATCCCAACCAAACGGCAGTCATCAAGCCCTTCCCCAAGAGCACGGAGAGCCGCGGCCTGGGCGCTGGCGCTGGCGCAGGCGGGAGCGC